GATGCATATGATGTGCATACATAATGCATGTTTTATAAATAGATATATATGGAATAGAGAAGTACTTTAAGGAATTGGCTCATAGGATCGGGGAGGCTGTCAAGTCCAAGCCAATATTCTTTTCAGGAAGACAATGCCAGATAGTCGATGTTTTAAAATTGATTATGTTTAGCATCTTATCAAAAAGCAGTCAGTCAAGATCAGTCAAGAAGCAGGAAGATATGACCAAAAACCAAAAGAAAAGACAGTTACTAAGAATATAGTTAGGAATGACAAATAATAGAAGGAAACATTACAATAACAATTATTTTATATTCTAGACGCAGAAAGGAAAACAAGCATAGAAAGAAAAATGTAAGATGAAAAAGAAATGCCTCTTTAAGCAATACAACAGATTCTTCCAAAAGTACCAAAAAAACCCCAGCAGTTTGCTTTATTCAAATAAAAATTGTCAGGTTTTACTTAGCTAAGCAAAAAATTCAGATTGGGGGGCCTTATATTTTTAATGGCCTTCTCTCTTTTTATGGGTTTAGCTATTTTATATTTGTAGTTTTCTTAGTTTAGACAATGTGGTTATATATTTTCTATTTTCGGGAATTTACTATAATTTTCCTTTTGGATATATATCTTTATACATACATATAGACTCAGACATACATATGTATAATCACTTTCTATGGACATCTAAAAATAATATTCTGTTGATAAAGCTTGGTATTTGTTACGTATTTTTGACTAATTGATTTACTCACTTTTGTTTCCCATTATGGCTATAGGAACGACTGTTGGTCCTGGGTTTATTAAGCAGCATTTATAAGTGTATCCATCCGTCTACCCATCTACCTTTCCTTTATCCTTATCAAACAATTAACTCCTTCTATTCTTTCTGCTCCTGGCCTCCTGAATATGATATTCCTCATTCCTAAGGTGCCCATTCCACCCCTTGAAAAGGCCACTATACAATATCCCTTAAAAATGCTAATTCAGAAAGAAGATCAAAAGTTGAATTTAAGTCTTAGTCTAGAGTTAAGAGATATAACTAAGGAATTTTTTTAATCATCAGTAAAACCAACACAAACTCACTCCAGAGTTTGAGATTTTGTTAGATATGTATTACTCCAGGTTCTCTAATTTATAGTTAGCCTGTTTAATTGCTAGCTACTCAAAAAGCAAAAATTGGTTAAAAGCAGCAGAATGGATTACACCAGGAGACTTTTAACCCAGCTGTGCATAAGTAAAGAAAAAGGATTTGAAAGGAAAAAAGTAAATATGAAATGCACTACATAAGGACATGTAGCTGTTCCTTTATGGATAACTGAACAGAGCCTTAAAATTATAAAGGACAAATTAATGAAAGACTTAAAAAAGACTGTAGGAAGCTTTTAAAAGTTAAATAGATAATTGGAGTAGAACCAAAACCTGAAATGAAGGGAGTTTTGTTCTCTTTTTTTATAAATGGGAACAGACCTGAAATAGGGAACATAGTCAGAAAAAGTACATAGAATGGAAAGTTTGGAGAGTTCCCACATGTAGCTGAATAGTTTCAAAGATCTTCAAAGGTAGACTAGATAGACATCAAACCAAACTTACACTTCAGATAAAATAACTTGCCCCAAATTTAAAATAAGACCAAAGATCCTCTGTTCTTCACAAATAGAGCTTATGGCTAGGGACACAGAGATACTGTAAGCAGAGGACCCAGTGAAAGGAACAAAATAAGCAGTTGTACTTTTATACAATAAGAACAAACTATGGAAAAATTAAGAAAATAATTACATTTATAGTACTATCATAAAGAATATAAGACTTGGGAATAAAATTAACCAAGGTAGTGAGAAATCTGTACACTGGAAACTGTAAGATTCTGATGAAAGATACTGAAAACACATAGAAATATATTCTATTTATGGACTGGTAAGAATTATTGTTGCTTACATGTCTATACCACCCAATGCAATTTACTGACTCAATGCTATCTGTATTAAATGTTGTAAGTAGTAATGACATTTCTCAGAGCCTAGAAATAAATCCATGGATACATGGTCAATTAATTTTGATAATACTGCACAGAGGTGTTGGGAAATCTGGACAATCACATGTAGAACAATGAAAATGGGCTCCTATTTTACACTATACACAAATATCAATTCAAAATTGATTAAAGCTCTGGTCTGATATATATTAAAATCTGAAACCATAAAACTTCTAGAGAAAGTATAGGAGGTAAACTCTTTGTTATCCTTGTCAATGACTTTCTGGATTTGACACTAAAGCAAAGAGCAACTAAAGCAAAAATAAGTGGAAATATGGCAGATTAAATAGTTTCCACACATTGTGAAGGAAATCTTCTGAAAAAAGGTGAATACAAAATAAGAGAAAATACTTGTAAACCGCATCTGGTAATGCGTTAATAATCAAAATATAACAAAACCAAGCAAAATAAAATCAGGTAACACAACTTAAAAATGGGCAAAGGACCTGAATAGTTTCCCAAAGACACACAAATGTCTATCAAGATACATGAAAAGGTATTTAAAATGACTAATCATCAAAGAGCTACAAATCAAAACCTCACACCCGTTAGGATGTCTGTTCAAAAAGAAAACCGTTGGAAAAAGCCTGGAAAAAGGGAACCCTTATGTACTCTGGAGGGCATGTAAATTGGTATGGAAAACAGTATAGAAGGTCTTCAAGAAATTAAAGATAGAACTACCAGATGATCCAGCAGTTACATGTCTGGATACTTAGTCAAAGGAAACAAATCCATCATCTTTGGTATCTGTATTCCCATGTTCACTGTAGCATTATTCCAGTAGCCCAGATGTGAACATATCTACAGAAGAACCAATAAGATATATACACACAGATGGATCAACAGGGCTTCTTTCCTTTATAAGACTGGATAATTTTCTATTTAATATATAATGAAATTTTACTGTACATTCTATAATTTAGAACATGTTACATATAATACGCAGCAGAAAATATATTGGGTTGTAGGAAAATCATGATGAATTTTTGCATCGAAAACAAATGACTTTTCTGGCAACCTAACAGATATCATACCATATGGAACTACATAATATAGAACATGTAATTACATGGTATAGGACATGTATAATAGAGAACATGATATAACAGAACCATGTATAGATTATATAATAAAGAACATATAGGTAGTATTCTGTCTTACATAATGAAAAATTGTCTTGAGAAGGAACTCCTACCATTTGCTATATGAATGAACCTGGAGGACATGATGCTAGAAAGCCAGATGAGAAACACAACTGCAGTGTCACTGATACATCGACGCTTATAGTGAAAATGTGTTAAACTCGTACAGATTTAAATGATGGTAAAAGGGTACTTTTAACTTTGAGTTAGAAGATGAAGTCTGGGAATCTAATATATAGCATGGTGACTGTAGTTGCTAATGATTACACAATAATCATTATGTTATCATTACATTATTGTGTAATCATTAGCAACTACAGTCACCATGCTATATATTAGATTTCCAGGAATAACAAATCTGAAATTTGTTAACAGTAGATCTCAGGCATTCTCAGCCCCTGAAAAAGGTAAATATGTGAACTTCAATCCTTTCACTTTACACATTATCATGTTGTATACCTTGAATATTAGTTGTACTTGTCAGTTATATCAATAAATCTGAAAATAACCACTGGGAGCAATCAAGTACTAAGATCCATAAGGATACGGAAGAGTGAGGCTACACTTCATTCAGGTTTAATTTTCACCTGAATGTTAATTTACACATAGTATTATGCACCCATTTTGAGTCCAGTTTGAGGCATCATGATACGAATATAAAGTTCTATCTAGAACCATTGCCTCAATTAGAATGTGTACTTTTCATCACCCCACCCCTTTGTCCAACTTTGCTGTCAAACCCCCCTTTTTCTCCACCATGTACACTTTTGCTGCATAGTGAAACCACTGATTTAGTCAGTATAGCTTTAAATTTTCTAGAACTTCATGGAAATAGAATTATAGTGATTCTTTTGTCTGGCTTCTTGTCTATCCATTTATATACTGATGAACATTCGGGGTCTTTGATGTTTGGAGTCCAGAAAAAAAGCTGCTATATTCATGTACAATTCTCAGTGTGGATGTGTTTTCACTTCTCATGAATATAGTATCTAGGAATAGAGCTGCTGGACCCTATGGCAAGCATGTATTCAATTCTTACTAAGAAAATGGCAAAGAATCTTCCAAATGGCTGAACCATTTTGCATTATTACTAGCAACATGCCTGCTGCACCCTATCAATCAACTCTTCAACATGCATGGATCCATTTCTAAATTTATCCCTTAACAGGTCTTATTAAACAGGTACACTGGGACAAAATTCTCTCATTTCCTGTCTAAACATTACCTCATGTTTATTGAAGGGCATTTGCTGAATATAGAATTGAGTCAATAGGTTTTATCTATCAACATTGTGAAAACATGTGGCATGGTCTCTAACTTGCATTTTAGGAAACATTTCTCCATATGGTTGTCTTTCCTTCAGCTGCTTTACGATGTTCTGTGGTTTCCAGTAACTTGATTATGATATACCTAAGTGAGGTTTTCTTTGTGTTACCCTACTTGCTAACTTTTTTCAACATGTAGGTTTATAATTTTCATCAAGTTTAAAAATTTTCAAACCCTGTTTCTTATATTGCTTTTGTTTCCCCTTCCACAGCTTCTAGGACTGCAAGCACAAGGCTGTCAGAAGTCCTGTTAGGAGCTAAGGTACTATTTGTGGCTTCCTCCCCCCCCCCCCCCCCCTGCCCCCTCTTCCATAAGACCATTGGTCTTTAACTCTGCACTCACCAAACTGCTTTAACTCCATCCATTCCATCTCACCTTGCTAGTGACAAGGGTGATCAAAAAAGAGCAGTGATTTTTAAAAATAAAGCTTATATATACTTGATTTATTGTCATAAATGTATTAATCTCAAATGTTAAAGAATAATTTAGAAATGTGAACTTATAACATCTCCTCCATGTGCAACATTAGAAATGACAATGCATATGACACCAACAATGTGCTGTTGTAGGTGGAAAAGTTTTATTGGATCATGTCAATATACTACAAGGAATATTTCAAAATAGAAAAGTAATTCACAGACTTATGTAAGTGAAGATCAACTGATCCAAAAAATTTCTTCCTTAGTTTCTCTCTGCAAAAGAACAGAACAGCCAGAGCAGTGCTTATAGTCCAGTAAGCTGGTTTTTCCAAGAAGGATTATTCCAATAACTTTGAGTGTTCAATACGAGCAATGATCCAGTCAGGCTTTACTCCTTGCGTAAACTCCCTCTGAAATCTAGGGGGAAAAAGTTACAAATGATGTAAATCTTAAATCAGTCCAAATATTTCTTGGGTAACTAATTTCCAAGTCCAGAGGCAGATTTTAGCAGCAAGTGAATGGTTAAATAAAAATCAAAAATTTAACCTACTAATTCAATAAAAAATATCCCTAAAAAATTAGGTATATTCTCAACTGACTTTTTTTTTTTTTTTTTTTGTACATACAGAACTGGGGTACAGGCCAGAGGCTCAGGGGCAGCAAGAGGTTTCACCAGAGACAGAGTGGGGAACAGAACAGGCAGACTGACGAAGTACACTACTGAGGGGAGCAGCGGGCGGGCCAGGAGACGTCTGCCACGCCATGTGGTCGCCTCCGGTGCAGGCGGGGATCGAACTCATGCGGAAGCGGCTTTAGATTCTCAGTGCTGTGCTTTAACCCGCTGCGCCACCAGGAGGGCCCCTCAACTGACTTTTTTTAATGGACTGATCTAAATTTCAACACCTGCCTGTTCTTGACATATACCTGTCACTCTGTTGTTGAGATTTAACATATGCCTAGTATAAGAAATAAATTGGAATGTGGCAATATAAATAGCACTGTAGTTGAATTTGGTTTATATACATTACATAAATCTTAAGTGTTTATGAGCTAGCCATATCTTAGGGAATATTAGAAGAACCAAAAGTTAATAACGATTGCCATGTTCTTTAATTATAAATATCAAAAAAGATAAAGTCAGTAGGTTTAAAATAAATTTTAAGTATACAAATTTTTGACAATTACAAATAAAGCAAAAATCACAACTGAAAAAGAAAAGCATTTTTCCAAGAAAAGTGAAAATAGGCTGTAATTCCTTTTTTACCTTGATGGAACAAAATATATTTTCATTTTGGGGATGTTATTTTAAAACAAATGTGTATGACTCCAGCAATATAATAGTATTCTCTTTAAATAATAAATTATGTCCTTATTGACTTGACTTGTAAACCGTTCTAAATTTTCTCAGCACAAAAATATACTAGTGTCCTTTAATAATCTCATTATCTAAGTCCTTTAAATATCTCATTATTAAGAGCAGGAGCCCTTCAATTCTGTATCTGAGCCAATCTGGAGTACTTAGTAAACAGGAGATGGTTAACACGTATGGCCAATTTTATTTTCAAGGATGGCAAACGCCCTATCTCCCAACTCGGGGGCCCATCTGCAATGTGACTTTGCTGTTGCCATCATGGAATGTCTGCTGCCCTCTCAATAGCAAGGCCCTATGACAGCTTTGACCAGTAAAGTACAGCAGAAATGACACATCAATCCTGAGCATAGCCCTCAACTGTCTAGCATATTCTGTTTTCTGTTCCTTGGACAGCAACCCTCACGTGAGACACGTGACTAGTCTGAGACTACACAATTCCCAGCCACGAAGAGAAGCACTGGAGAATAGCACGTGACATGGAGAAGCCCCGCGGCACCAAGGTGCTGCACCAAGGTGCTGCACACGTGAGTGAAGAGGCCATTGTGGAAATGAACCCTTGGGTTCCTGAAGCCCCAGCTGATGTCAGGTGAAGCAGAGAAAATCCACAGCTGAGGCTTTCCAAAATTCCTGGGCAGTAAAATAGCAGGCGAAGAACAAAAACAAAAAAGGCCGTTTGAAGCTACTGAGTCTTAGAGTTGTTTGTACCATAGCAATAGACAGCTGAAACACCATTTAATTAAATTTAACAGTATTACCTCGTTCTAATTTCTGAACACTCCTGTTTCATGGCCAGTATGTCTTTATGACTTTTTTCTCTTCATAAGTAACTTTTCTTCCTAAAGCTCCCTTTTCAAACCTTCATACTACCTTCCATTTTCTAGAGAAAGGAAACAATGAAATGTGATTAGACTTACTCATAGCTTGCACTAAGAAGTTGTTTAGTTTCCACATTCTGATCCCCCAACTTAACCTGGAATACACTGGCTCCACTTATAGTTTCACTGGGGATGTTGGCACTGGTTAGATACCAAAAGCACATCAGGATGTTAACAAACTTCCTTCCTTAGAGAAAAAACACACACACAAATACAAATCGCTGTAATCTATCATCTTTATATCCAAAATGATATCAGACACTGGCAATATTTACAAAATTGGGCTTTACAGCTTCTTTTAGTTAAGACATGTATTGATAACTTTTTATTTTTAGAAAATTCTCTCAGGATTTATAACACATTTTGCCCTTCTCTTGTATTGCAGTAGTAATAGCTACTATTTACTGACCTGTGTATACATACATCTATTACATGGATTGTTTTAATTTGTGGCATTTCCTAAAATTATAATAAAAGGCATATGCTGTCAAACCAAAAATGAAGAGGGAAAACACATTTACTGCTGCTAAGTGATTAACTAAGCCCTAACTACCAGAAAAAGGACAGACTTCTCTATTTTATTTTAATTCAATATGCTATGGCTGGTAATTATAATAGTAAAGGAAAAGTTCATAAAATCAGTTGAGATTAAGGTAAGCTGCACACCTCCAAATAGGATTTATTTGGAGACAGTTTAAAAAGCTGAAAGAATTTTAGTAGTTATCTGGTTCTTCTTTATAATATTTATAATATAAATTTTACATAATATAATTTAATATTTATATAAGAACTATAATAGCCTCAGATAGTGACCACAGAGCTGAGATGCAATTTGAATTATTAGGGGGATAACAAAATATTTATCACTAAAAGTATGTTTATAACATTTCAATATACATGTGCATGAAACCTTTCTAACTATTAAGAGTCCTGTATAAAAAAAAAAACTGCTAAAGGAAGCATGTAAGGCTAGATTTCTAGTGGGCCTGGCAGACAGTACATATGCAAATATTTGTAGAAGGAATAAGTTAACCCTTTTTCAAGAATAGGATAGGGCAAGTGTACACAGCTGACAAGAGCCAGATAACCACTAAAATTCTTTTGGCTTTTTAAATTATCTCCAAAATAAATCCAATTTGGATTTATTTGGAGGTGTGCAGCTTATCTTACAGAGATTTCAGCTGATATCATGAACTTTTCCTTTACTCCTTACTCCTACTTACATACAGCTGGACATTTAAAATGCTCAGTTTTCCCCCTCAAGTTAGGAAAACAAACTCAACAAACTCAAATGTTTTCAATTTGAGACCAGCCAGCAGCTTATTCTAGACAGGCTATTTTTTTTGCAATTTAAGAGAAGATGTTCTCCCATGTATATGAGACAGTAGTGGGGACAACTTCTAGACAGAAGGGCATAAAAATTAGTTGATTTTTAAGCGTTTGCCTACTAGGTAATCTTATGGACAACTATGGAGCATTTAACGTGGACTGTGCTCCAGCATTACCTTTCTCATCATAGTAAATGGAGATGTCTCCTGTTGATGTGTACACAATCTCATCTATATCAGCAGCAAGGGCATTTTTATGGTTGTCAGGTAGTGAAGTAACTTTTTCTTTCAATACAGGCAGTACCTAAATTTGGAAAAAGCAAACCATAGTTCACCTATTGAGTTTTATCAAAAACATGGACATTTTCTAAACTTTAAAATTTACTCGTGTTCACAGTCAAGGCTTAAAAGTTTCTAGTTATTCAACTAGGTAATTCCTAATAGAGCATTCTCTGTAAGAACAACTCACAGCCATATTTACTTCTTACATCTATGTAACAAGTCTTTCTGTAGCTCTGCAGGCTCTGCTTAGTTTATGGCACGCATACCATTTTTAAAATGTAAATAAAGGGAACGTGTGTCATTTATGACAGGAGAATTTTATCTTTATTTTTGGAGACAATTAAGAACATACTTTACCTCTTTGGCTACCAGTTCTTCTAACAGATCAAATTTACACTGTGACAGCAACTGGGACACATGTGCAAAAGCCTTAAAAAATAGTGAAGGAAGGATGTTGATTATTATTGCAAAATGCTATACAATATACAATGCTCATATGTAAACAGGTAAGTGTAACAAAGCCTAGTTTATGATCAAGGTGATAAGCAATGTCAAACACTAATATATCAAAGTTAGATGCAACTCGTTCAAAGCTGGCTGGCTTTTGCTTTCTCATATCCTTTCCAAATACACAGTCATAGTACACAGATTGCTAATTATGTATCCACTCTCAGGACCTGGGAAAAGATATGTGGTGTACACACTAGGTCTTTAATTAAAATCCTCCTATATGTTTTCTTTTAGAATAACGATGACGTAATTAAGCACTCTGACATACATGAGATCTCTTATCATGCAAAGATGACAGGTGAGCAGTACCATCTAGATTGTACTGGGAGCCTGGACAGCTGGGAGGCAGCCGAATCTCACTAAGACAGAGAAGGCTAATTTGGGAAATGGGGAGAAAAGGCAGAGTTAATACTTGGGTGGATCCCAACCTTGAAGTAGGAGTGCCATAGTGAAGTGAGCTGCAACCAACTGCAATCCTCCATATTTCTGCACTGAGGAATGATGCTGTGCACTACTCCAGCTGTCTGCAAGGAGCTTTCAGTCTACTTGAGGAAAAAGTCAAGTAAACTGACTAGTAGTTCAAGAACTATTAACATGGATAAGAACAGGAGGATTCAGGAACTTCTGGGGGGTGGAGAGACTGATAGCAAGCACAGAGGCTGCAATAGCTAACAGCTGAAGGGCCTCTAGCGTCAATGACTAAAACATGCCCCAAACTCCTCTGTACTGTGTGTTCAGAGAACGTTTAGAATCAAGGTCTGACCGCTACCAACGGTGAAGCTGATTTCACTTTTTATTGGCACACGAGAGCTGTATAGCCATACATGTGTTACGAGGTGGGCAAGCTTACACGCATGGTGGAGAATAGTAGAGTCACGCTAACTTACCTCTGCAGGAGCAAAAGGTTTTGAGAACTGACATGAGCAGAGGTTTATGACTTAATTATGAAGCCGAGCTAGGCATATTAATTTTCTTTGTTAATTTCTATAAAAAAGTAAAAAGTGGAAAAAAAAAGTGGACTCAGGGGAACAGATGTTAATACCGACACTAATTACAAAAAGTTGAAAACATTTAATTTATAGCTGGAAGAACACATAAATAATATATAAATATACATGGGTGTTTACAGAAAGAATATGAAATTGCAAGATGTTGACATCTGTGAAGCCATTAAAAAATGGAGCTGGGAGCCATTACGAAAATTGTGTCATCTATCTCCTTTGAATTGTGCCAAAGGCCTTTGGTCAGAGCCAAAAGCGACTGTTTCAAGAAACCAAGTAAACAAGTTATTACTTTTCCATTTATTCTAGAGACTCAGTCACCAATTCTGTATAGCCAAGAATATTGTAAAACTCTTATAACCCTAAACAATTTTTTAACCATTTACCTCATTTTCCTCTTATAAAACCCACCTATTTGAGGACATATTTTTGTCCATTTTTACCTGGATCTGTGTACTCCAAAGTGTAATTCTTCATTTTCAAATATGTTGCCTCCTAAATTTTTAGCTTGACAAATGGGTAAAAACTATCAAACCATATACAGTCAATATTATGAAATGATTACAATGATGGCATAAGTTTAAGGTATATGGAGGCAGGAATTGGGAAATAAACGATGATTAGTATTATATATCAAATGTTCTGAAATGTTTGAAAATGGTATACTCTCAAGAAGGTTATAGGGTAAAAGGTAAGAAAAGTTAGGGATGGACCTTCATCCTAAGAAAAACTGAAAAATTGTATGTACATACAAACTCTACAAGTAATCTCAGGATGCAACATGACTATTCTTGTAGCAAGGTAGGATATTACCAACCATTCAGAAAGAAGAACAGTAACTGTCAGTGTCAGAGCTATGAGTCATCAAAGGAGGCATGACTTTTGGCATGCACCCTATAGTTAATAATGACCATAACTATGGTCTCAGCAGATTATTATTTTTTTGCGTAGAGGAACTGGGATGTAGGCCAGAAGTGTGGAGTGGGGTTTGGTGGTGAGAGGATGGTAACAGAACAGGCAGATCTACACTGCTAAGGAGGGGGACAGTGGGTGAGATAGAAGAGGTCTGTCGTGCCATATGTGGGTCAGCTCCCTGGCCAGGGATGGAACTTACACCATAGAGGTGATAAGTGCTGAGATTTAACCCCAAGGCCACCTGAGAGGCCCCTCAACAAATTCTTTCAAAGGGAGAACTTGTTCCTGTCTAGGCAATTCTTTAAGGAATACGATAGGGCAGGGGAGAGAAAAAGCTGTCAAACCAACTGGTAAAAAATGTTATCTTTCTACCCAAAATGATAATGTACTTTGGAAGTATTACTTCACTAATTCTTCAAAACAATTGTAACCACTCATTCACTTATTCAGACATGGAGTGTCTACTAAGCGACAAGTGTGAAAAGTGTTATCACTGTAGTCACATTAAAATGGAGTTGGAGAAAGTCACCACGGAAAACGCTACCTTGTTGTCCTCTTTAAACTGAATCTGATCCTAGGAATGGGCCGAATCACCACCATTCCAAGAAACCGAGAAGAACAAGATTATCCTGTGTGAAAGGGCTGGTAAAGCGAACTTACTTTTGTGATCCTCTCCACTGATAGCTTACCTTGTGATCACTCCATTTTTATCTTTTGACTCCATCTATTACCTCTTCCCCACCACCTCATCATTCTTTCCACCCTCAGTAAGAACCCTACTCAACTCCCACCTCCAGTCCCTCAGCTGTATACCCATAATTATAATGGCCTACTATTCCCAAGTGAAGGCATTTTGAGCTTCCACACTAGCCTCGATGTTCTCTTACTGAAGGCTAACACAAGCGGTGTCCTCTTCGTTTTGCACGAAATCACATTCAGAAAATACAAGGTCGTATATAGTTATGCGGCAGAAAGGGGCTTTAAATCCATTTCGGACTGAAAAAGCTGTAGCGCGTTAAAAGGAAAGAGGGCATCTTCACCCTGATGTTTCAATCAAATGAGGCTCTCCCCTGTGACAATGCAAACATAAGGCAAGACGGTGTCTGGGTCTCAAACTAGCCACGCTTGCTAACTTGGGGTCCAGCGAGTGGAAGCCTCACCGCTAAACACAGATGCTTATGGGAGTTTAACACGAGAGGTGAGCGACAGAAACCAACCTGCTTCGCTCCTTCGGAGAATTCTGCGATGCTGAAGTCTTTGTCGAAATAGGCCCAGATTAGAAAGGCGTAGATTCGAGTCCGAACCCAGTTGACTGGGTTGGAGAACCCCAAAATGATCATTTTTGTTTTCTGTCGCGGCTGGGGCTGCTCTTCTGTGCTGTAGCTGCGACGAGGACAGGCACCGAAAGCCAGGAGGGCTGCGGGGAGTCTCGCAGGGAAGAGCGTGGGGCGCCGGGGCCCCCAAGCAGACGGCACCAAGGCTGCCTCGGGCCAAGTGCTACGAGAAAATGGGGTTGTTCCCGACCCGAAGCGGCGGCGGCAGCAGCAGCAAAGTCCAGCCAACGGTGGCCTCACTTCGGCTGCACTGGGAATCCAGGGTCGGAGGACTACGCCGGGCAGCGGCCGATAAAACAGCCGACGAGCGGTCAGCGCCATCTTTTTGACCTTTCACCTTTCCTTTCTTGCCTGTGCTTCATCGAAACTAAGTCGGCGGGAAACCACCCCAGTCAGGCTCGGAAAGACGCTGGAAGTAAAATTGGCCTGTTGCCGGCGCTGGTAAAGCAAGCCCCACCCCGTTTCTCCAGCAGACAGGCCACACAGAACCTTTGGCCAACGTCCGACGATCGGGCCCGGTCGCTCTAGCCGGTCCGCCAGCCTCGTGGCCCTTTTCTCTCTGGGTCCTGTTTCCGGGCGGATCGTGCGCTGAGGAACCGAGGAGCCATGGCGGGGCAACGCATCCCGGTACCCCGGCTCGAGGGTGTTTCACAGGAGCAGTTCATGCAGCACCTTTATCCGCAGGTGAGATCCTTCTGCGGGGTCCAACGTAGAAAGCAGGGGACACACATCCCGGTCACTCGGGCTGCTCGATGCTGGTTTCTTGTGATCCTGGATAGAGGGAGGAGGCGCGGGCGGAACACAGGTGGCCGCTTGACTGCAGCCGAGGGCATGGACGCTTCGCTCATCCATTAAAGTGTCTGGAGACAATAATCCCACGTTTCTGGAAAGCAGCATAAACGCGGAAAGCTGAACACAAGAAACATTTTGCATAATAAGAACGAGCTGCAAGAAGAGGCCTTGCTAGATTCCCGTTAGGTCTTCTGTCACCGCCGTGGCAACGAAGGGAGCGTTCTTCCCGCTTTCGCTGCCTTACAGTCCTCATCTTCCCTGGATCTCACACACACCGTGCCTCCTCCGCTTTCCGGCTCCCCCAGCTTCTGTACTCTGTACAACCCCGCCTCCCTGCCTCTGAGGTTTCGCGACCACACCTCTGGTGGCTCTAAAGGCATTCCAGCAGCCTACTGAATTTGGAGAGCAGATTTTCATTACTCTGAGCCCTTACGGGTCAGTGCGAATACCCCAGGAATCTCCCGCTAGTTCTGGCATTCTCAGGAACCTGAGTTCCAGTTCAGATGTTGGAATGTGTAGTTCAATTTTAGTTCTTTAAAAGAAAACGCAGAGAAAAATATTAAGTGAGAAGATAATACTTTTATTTAACTGCTTTGCAAGGGGAGCACAGCTTCAAACCCAAGGAGAATACAGTTCAACAGACAATTAAAAAAAAAAAAATTCTCAAGATTACACTTAGTCTACTCATGGGACAACCCCTTCTACCTAACCTGCTGGACAGCCCCAACCTCCCAACAGTTTTACTTAATATTTCCATCCCTAAGGGTTATCATAGAGAACTACAGTTCTGAGTATTACTAAAGTCAGGGATGACGTTGTTTTCCAGGTGTTAGCAACTTAGAAGGATGAGGAGGATGCAAGTCTTCATTTATTTGAATCACTAACGGGGCATATTATCTTTCCCATCACCACCTCTAGAAGTATTAGTATAAAATACCTGCAGGGCCTTATTGTAAAGATCAGAATGTTACATATGAAGTGCTTTGTAAGATGCAATAGGTATTTGTAGTTTAATCTTCCCAAGATAGGATGAATTGTCCGGGACTGACCCCGATCACGGGTTGTTGGGGGGCAGAACAGGCGGGGTCTTAAGGTGGGAGCGGCGTTGGCGTGCGGAGATTCCTAAAAAAGGGGGAAAAGGGGAGCGGGTGCCTGGAAGACAAGGGAATCAGTTGGGTGCAAGTCTTCCTGCTCTGGTTTCAGCAGAGCTTTATTTTATACTTTTCTAGCAAGCAGTGGGATCCATTAGCATATGAATTGGGCTGAGAGATCACGATCATCTTTTTTCTAAGTCATCAAATTGAGTTTAGTTGAAATTATAACATTATTCTTAAAATCAATCTATTGAGGTTAAAACAGGTACATAGGTTTATAAAATTTAAGGCTAATAGTACTATATTTACCACAGTGAAGATTAACCAAAATAAAGTCCATTAAACCTTAACTACTCCTTGGCTTTCATTCTCATTGAGATATTCTAGTGGGTAAAGTGAGGGCAGAAAGGAGAAATTTTCTTGTAAATCAATCACAAAAGGAAATAACAGTAAAATTCTTTAAAAACTGAATAGAAAGCTTCAGTAGTTCCTTAAAAACTATTAAATAGAAGACTTGTGTGAATTTCCTTATCTAAAGAGTAGATAGTAGAATCCTTAAAAACTAAATAGAAAGCTTGTGTGAATTTCCTCAAAGTCTAGACAGTAGAAAGCTAAAATAGTTCTAAACTGAATAGTAGAGTGATGAGACTTGGGTTCTCCTCCATTCTGGCAGTAAAAGAATATGTTCTAGTACTGCCTCACAATACAATATTGATTTTGCTATGGCAGCCAATTGCTTTTATTAATCAGCTAATAGTAAAATTATTTGACTTCAAGAGGAATTTCCTGCCCTGGTAGCGCTTGCATGTCAGGGCCAGGCAGCACCTTATGAGGCCAAGGTAATCCAGTTGTAAGCTGAAGGTTGCTCAGAATACTTTGATATTATGATTATACAAAAAAGGGAGGTGATAACATAAGTTAGTGTGGAAATTCTGATTTTTCAGAGCTTTTCCTTTTCTATCTGGAATTTGTCAGTCGATAGAAATTGCATAGCTGTGTCAATGAATAATATGTTACAAAGAAAGTAACACTAAGTTTCCTAAAGTGAACATTTGGAAACACAGATCATAATGTAGTAAAGCTGGAAATTAATAGCAAAGTTGGGAAATAAATTCTTTCTGCTTGGAAATACTGCATGAAATAATCACTATAAGGGGGTATAGTCCTATCAGATGTTTAAACATTTTAATAATGCCATACTAATAGTGTGGTACAGGCTGGCAGAGAGACCAGAGGACTAAAAGAGATAGTCTGATAGTTTACTGAATATATATATATAATATTATTTTTACATCTATATATTACATATAGCTTGATGTATCCATTTGCTAATTTTTGCTTTTGTTTCCCTTGTGGAGTTCAGTTTCCAAAGATAGCCCCAAGTCTCATGTTATGTAACAAGTTTTCTTCTATTTATTTTTTGTATTTAGTGTCACTGTAATTAGTTTTATTCTTTGCATGTGGCTGATCAGTTTTCTTAACACTGTTGAATGCTCTTTGTATGCTCTTTGCTTCTTTGTTGTGCATCAACTGTCCACATATGTGTCCATCAACATGATTGGATAAAGATGTGTTTTATATATACACAATGGAGTATTACTTGGCCTAAAAAAAGTGAAATCTGGCCATTTACCACAACATGGATGGAACTTGAAGGCCTTACGCTAAATGAAGGTAAAAAGGAGATGAAATCCTGGATAATTTCACTTATGTGGAAAATAAAGTCAACAAAGATAGAAAACAATACAAAGTTTTGGATTCTGACAACAGAAATGAGGTTCACAGTTGGGAAAGGAGTGGGGGAGGGGGTGGAAGCACAGGTTAAAGGCAGTCAGTGGAAGTTCAATAACTTTGGTACTTTGGTGATGGGCCTGGTTGGGTAACAAGTGTAAACCTGTGGTCTTAAAACATAGTGTTGTAAACCAGTGTTATCTCAGTTAGAGAAGATATTGAAGCCAGTATGTACTGTTACCTGTTGCATTGGCAAAAATAAAGGGATTTTAATCATACTCTTGTTAGGACTGTGAAAAAAAACTAGCACTCTCAATCTTATGGCAAAGTGGTGCAACCTTTTAGAAGGGAATTTGGCACATGCTTAAGCATGCATGTGTTATGATCTGGTCATCCTTCTTTTAGGGATTTACTCTGGGGGTACATTGCCAGAAATATTATGTCATATTTATTACTTGTAAATAACTGAAGTAACCTAAAAATTTATGTTTAGGAGACTGACTGAATAAACTGATCATTTGCACTGCAGTTGGCGAAACTGTAGAAAATAATGAGGGAGATAATCTGAGCTAATAGTGATTTTAAAGCATATGTATTTAAGTTTTAACAAGGAAATTGTAAAAAGAAAAAGAATGCAGTATAATTTCTCTTCCTGTATAAAAAATAAGGGAGAATAAGGAAGTATACTTGTTAGTCACTTTGCAAAAAAAAAAAAAATACAGGAATGATAACTCAGAAATTAATGAGCTGGTTATTTTTAGGTGATAAGTGAGTGCTAAGTGGAAAATATGGGTGGGATGACCTTTTTGCATAATTTTGGTGACTACATTCTTGTTTTACATTCAAAAAGTTATTAGAAAAATAACAAGAATAAGGAATGATTAAGAAAGTCAAAACTCTAGTACAGAATATATAAAAAATTATCTAGGAGAAATAACTCGTCACTTTTAAGCACAGTACTTTTTTATGTTCTCAGTCTAAAAACAAAAAGCTGAATATACTGAATTCTAGTTAGTAACCTTGCTGAATATACTGAATTCTAGTTAGTAACCTTGCTTTTTATGATGATATGACTTAGCATTAGTGAAAGTACTTATGAATTCTGATATTTGCAAATGATTAAATTAGGAACCTGGTTCTTTTTGTTGAAGGAAGTTACATAAACAATGAAGATTAGAATGAATCTTGTGGTATATGATCCTCGTTGGAAGTATCAGTATTGGAAGCATCATGGTGCTTAGGTATATCCATTACGTGTTTATGCATATGTATGGAGAGTTTATGTATATATGTTTATGTGTGTATACATGTAGTCGTGTACATGCATGTGTGAGTGTATATGTACTGGGGTTGAGGGGAGTCAATATGCATATACTATACATATTTCCTAGCTCTGTCTGTTGAGAGTATAGAAGTAGTTATACCCAAGAGTAATGAATATACTCAGCACCCAGAGGTTTCTATCATAGATAGCATTTCTCACTGAAGAAATCAGAGTTACGTGAAGACATGATATGTCTCTGAGGCAGAGAAAGGACTGGACTGTCCTATTTTGCCTTAAAGTAAGAAAGTGTTCAGGTGAAGGTTCAAGGGCCTCAAGGGCCTCCTACTGGCCAAACTGTGGATAAATTGAGCATCAAAATTATATCAGTAGATTAATAACCCAGTGAATAAAATTAATAGAGAAGTTAGAGCTCATTTTGACACTGAATATCAACTAATGTAGACGGTAATGGAGTTTTAAAATCATAGTTTTTACTCAGCATATGAATACTTGATTCAAGCAGGATTACCATTTGATCAAATTTAATATCGCAATAATACGACAAAAATATTTTTTGCCATTTAATGTGTTCAATTGAGAAGGCAACAACATTTCAACTGGAGTAATGATGAACCAACATTTAAGAATGAACCAGCTGTACAAAATAACTGGCTTGTATTCTACAAAATCGCAAGGTCTTGGAGGACAAACGCTGAAGAACTGCTCCAGACTAACAGACATGGCCACTGCATGCAGTGTGACCATCTCGGGAGTAGGAGAACAACTGAAGGAAAGGGTATTGCTAGCAAGCTTAGGTTTGGACACTGGCAAAACTTAGGTATGGACTCTGGGTCAGATGGTAGCATGTCAGTGTTCTACATAGTTCTTAACAATTGTTCTGTGTAAGCGAATATCCTGTGTTCATGAAAAAATACTAAGGTTTTTAGAGATAAAGGAACTTAATGTCAGAACTTACTCTGAAATAGTTCTGCAAAATTATATTATGTGTAAGATTGTGCTTTATCCTTTAAAAGGAGGAATCTATCACTGAACATATTTCCACCAAAAAAAAAAAAAGATTGTGCTTTATACTCACATATGACAAAAGACAGCAAATGATAAAGGAAAAAGGACAATAGATTAAATTTCAAGTTGAGATCAGTCAGAGTAAAGGATATGGGAGTGCTTTGTAATATTCTTGCAATTTTGCCTTAGGCTTGAAATTGTATCAAAATAAAGTTACAATATTTGTAAAGTACAATTTTTAATTGTATTTTTGTCATCATACTTGTGAAATTGCTCTATATAATACTTAGATTTCTCTTTCTATGGTCTTGCTGGCATAGCTGTTTTGTTTTTCTAATGTTAAAATTTTGTCCTGAGTATTTTACATGGGTCCTCCTCTTTTTTTTAATGATTGGCATGGGTATTCAAAGGTTTGAGTGTGAACACTTGGGATCAATAATCATTTTTGTTTGTTTCTTTGCATATAGGTATTTCTTTGCTAAATACAACTTCTTATATATCGTTGGTTTTCTTCAGTTTTGTTGCATTTCTTCTCCTACTTACAGAGAAAGCCTCTAGTGTTGGAAGGAATTGATTTGGGGGCATGTACAAGTAAATGGACAGTGGACTACCTAAGCCATGTTGGAGGAGCAAAAGAAGTGAAGATTCATGTTGCCACAGTTGCCCAGATGGACTTCATTAGTAAGAATTTTGTGTATAGGTATTTCTTCTGAGGTTTACTTTGTACCTACAAATACTTTTTTATAAAGCTTTAAAATAACTTTTCATTATTGTTCAAAGTCCACACAGCACCTTGTCTTTTGACTATGATAGAACCACTTAGCTAATTTTTAAATAATGACTTTTAAAAGACAAGAATTTTTTAAAAGAATTTTACAGATAATACAAAAATATTTCTTAAGTCCACTTTTAAAATAAGGTATACACCCAGTATCCTCAGGAGTCATGGGAGGAATAAAGAATTTCTTTGACCAGAGTTAAGTTACATCTGAAACTGGGTGTGTTTTATTAATTGAGTAAACCTATTACAATAGTAACTATCTAGAGTAAGAAATTCTGAAGTTTAATTTTTAATGCCTTTATTTTTAGAAGATTTCTAATTCCATGTTGTTTTTAGATAAGTTAAGCCTATGTCTTTATTTTTCTGCCTTCTTGAGGAAAGTAGGAAAAGTAGATTTCTTGGGATATGGTATTTTCACTAATTTGGAAAACTTTTAAAAAATAGTTTTCCATTTTGATAAAATAACTTTTAACAACACCCCCCCCCATGTTTGTCATTTTATGCTTTGAGATCTCTTTAAGTGCAGAAATGTCTAAACTTGAAAATTTTAAATGCTGTAATCTTATAATGTTACTTATTCCCATGAGTTTTATTTAATATGTTAAATTAGAAGTCAAATGACTTCCAAATTCTGAGCACGTGTAGTTCCCAGCAAATTCAATCTTGAAAAACAAAAGACTGATTTTTAAAGAAATGTGGCTTTCACTGTTCCTTGCAGAGTTTAGAGATGAGTTAAACAGAGCTTCTAATGTCCAGTGCCATTCCTTTCTCATTAGAGTTTTCCAAGCTCTTATAGCAGCTTGCCAAAGTGTTTTAGTTTTTGATCCTTTGAATATTCATTATTATAGTTTTGGTTTTTAATAGGACATGAATTGAACTTAATTGTCATAAATTTTTCCAAGTGTCAGACTTTTCATTTTTTATTAAATCAAGAAAGTAGAAGAAAGTGTGGAATAATGAGTGTTTTTCAACTGCAGTTAATGATGTTTATTTTCCAGAGATTCCAATGCCATAACAATGGGTATTGAAACTTCATCTTGAGTTGCCTTGATGTTTTGTCATATGCTATAAACTTGTTTTGAAGCACATACATTATGTAATACTTCTTATCCCAACTTCCTCCAAGCCTTTTATTAGAATTAAAGAGTTGCAAGATTATTTTCTCAGTACAAGAAAAAAAATTAAGTCATTTTTTTTCAGTTGCCAGGGACTTTGAAAAAGAGCGGCTTCTAGACGAACTATGTGAGAGTAAGAAATTCTACACATATATATTACTGTCACTTAATTTAAAGTTGTGCTTTTTGCTTATTAAGCATTTAAAGATCATTATATTTTCACATTAATTTTTACTTCTTTCTTCTTGGTAGCACTCCCTGTTCTTCCATAGTTGGGCTGCTATTCACAAGAACCTGCTGTGGTAAAAGGACAGTGTTGGTTTCACCTTGTCAAAGCTATTTTTTAAAAGTCTGAATCTTATTTAAACTTTGCTGCTTCTAGCTATTATGTCATCTAAATCATGTCCTCATCCTGCTGTTAGTGCTTATTTTAATTTCTTCAGTCTTATTTGTAAAGCAGCCTTTCCAAAATAGGAAATAGGACAGTGAAGATTGTTCTTTTTCCCTTTTATTTCTTTTTTTTTTTAAATATGTGAGTTAAGAATTGAAGCTTTATTATGGGTGATAGTACACACTCAAGAGTGAATCTGGATAAATTCAGAGGAGAAATACCTGTTTTGCTTTCTTTTTAATGTTAATGAACCCTTGCTTCTAATGGATACAGTACCCCTGTTTACCTCACCACCTGTCCTTTACTTAGCTCTTGTCAGGTGCTATTATTCATTTAAATTTTAGAATAATCTGTGAGTTGGAGTTTTTAAAAATAAATATACAGATGAGAAAAACATTAAGTTACCACAGATCATGTAACTCAAAATAAAGGAACAGAGATTTATACCCAAGTTTAGCTTCTAGGTCCCTCCTAGGAGCATAGTTCCATGATTTATGTTGCATGTGCAGAAGCCAGATTATCTGCTTCCAAACAAGTTTTTATAGTCCTCTCACTAACCTAGGTTAGATAAAGTTCACCAGCCAAGGACCATTTTTACAATAAGCAGCATTACCTGATACCATAGTTGACACTTCACATTTACCTTAAGCCATTATGTTAACAGGAGAACATTGCTAGAAGGTAAGCTCAAAGTCACTTTATTAGAGAATAAGAAAGGGGTTTTGTTTAACCTTTTACCCTACATCTTCAGTATGAATTTTAAGTGAGAGATACTGGTAGTAAAAGTGAAAAGATTACAATTCTCAGAGTTTGGAAATTGGAGTGTGATAGAGTAAGAGAAGAGAGTTTTGATGCAAATGCTTATGAGGACTTTATTGTTTTGATGTCACTGATAAGCTGTCTTCCAGTACAAGATTCTAGAAGGTTGAAGGGAAAGAGTGGCTTGGAAATGCCCTCCAGGTCCAAGAAGGTGAGCTGAGGGAAGCAAACTTTATTTCATGGTGTTCAGCTATATTACCAAAATAGTAGGAAACAGGTAATAGGATAGAAATATTGAAGAACGAAAATGGGCCACCTGACTGAAATTCTTAAGATATTTCTCATAAGCCTTAACATGATAGAGGCGGTACAGGAGGATGAGAGCAGTGTCATGGCTTCTATGCTTTGTGGTAATAAGGCAGGAAGATCAGTGGGGCAATAGGAGGGGGAGACTTTGTTTTCATTAGACCATTTGTCTACTCTCTTCCAGTATAGCACAATTAGCTTGCCTCATTCATCACAAGACTTTTTGTCATGATGCTTGAAAATAGGCTAATAAGCAGAGCCTGGAAGTTTATGTATTCCCAGAGGTTACCAGGTAGGATGTCACTGATAAGGTATCTTCAAGTACAAGATTCTAGAATGTTGACGGATAGGATGGGACCTTGAGAGGAAATACCCTCTTACAGGTTATTTTTCGAGTAGTAACTTCAAAGAGGATGTTGATAGCTGAGATGGATCCATCTGTACCATAAATTTTAAAAAACCTAGTTCTTAGAATCAAAATTATGTACAACCTATATCAAATAAGTACATGACTAATTGTGAAAATACTAAATTCTACATAATAGATTATACAATAAATTATGTATATTATAAAATAAATGTTCAAATGCATCTCCAACAAATCTATGAATTAGTGCTAGAGTATTACTAATTGGCTTATTAACTCCGAGGATTCTTTTGTGTTTATTTCAGAACTTTATCTTTTGACAAGTTGGTTCAGAGGGCAGCTGAAGAAAAGCACAAAGAATTCTTTATTTCAGAGGTATTTGTTTTTAATATTTTACTTAGTTATATGCTAAATGAACTTTCTTATAGGAGAATGGCAGATATACAAGAGCTGCCGCCTTCTCTGATAGCCATTCTTGGGTTTGGCTGTGTGTACCATGGATCCTAACTAATTATTGGATCTCAGCCCTTGACTGGATTTTTTTTCTGCACTTCAATGTGTTCATTTATAAAATGGAAATAAGAATAGTACCTATTTCATAACATTTTTATGATAATTAAAATCAGAGCACAGTGCCTGACATGTAGAAGTTATTCATTAAATATTAATAATTGCCTTTGAAAATGCTCTCTGAAAATTTGCAAATTTCAAATGCTAATTGAGAACTTTACTTACATATCTTATTGATTCTTAGACTTTCTATATTTTATTATAGTTGTCAAAATGATTTCTGTTGTATTTACTGTAACTTTGTTCAGGATTACAAATTACTTACTTACATTTACATGGTACAGCTTTAAATAATTCAATTTAAGCATCTTGAGATAAGGACTTGAACCATATATATTATATGGATAAAAATTCACTTATTTCAAAAGCACATTTAAAAATAAATTTTGTTTTTAAATTTTGAATGTAGCTTTTGTCTGCATTTGAGTCAGCTAGGCAAGTGATCAGTTTGTTTGTAAAAGGTATTGCATTTATCAGGTAAAGGAAGAACAATGACAGGATAAAGGATTGAAGTCTAAAAATTATGTAAAGTATATAAATAAGATGAATGTGGACTGTCAAGTCAGTCTTTCAGGAAGCAGATACTAAATTGGAATTGGAATGCAAAAGGTTATTGGGGAGTTATACCTATGAGAGGCAAAGGGAAGATTAGGTACAAGGAAGCCATCAGGTGATGACAGACACAGAGATTTGACCAAGTCTTTGCCAGCTGGACATGAAATCTTCAGGGTACACTTTTGGTAGGGGAGTCCTGGGTGTTGAATAACAATGTTTAGGCCTTTTACCTTCTTGCTCAGTCATTAGCTGGGCTGTGGCACAAAGAAGGTGTCTTTGACTCAAAGACTGAGATGGACATACAAGATTTGTCACCTGGCAGCTGTAAGTTAATCACATTCCTAGCACCAAAGCAGAAACCTTTTCTTGAAGGTTTCTTGAACTCTGTAACCATAAAACTGGTACATTAATTTTTCAGTTTTCTATAAGTTAATTTTTTATAAGTCTTGGAATACTAGAACTGGTTGAAAACTCAGAATTTTGAAAACTATACCTTAAAGCAAATTTTTTAGTAGTTTATAAAACTTAACCTGATACAATGCTAGCCAAAAATATGAAACAGTGAATCTGAGAATTTAAATTCATGATTATAGACTTAGAATACATTGTTAAGTTTAGTGAGACATATTTTGAAGTTTGTTTTACATTAGTGTTGATATAAAAACACAGAATATTTTAGTTGAATTTTCCCTGTACTTGACCTAGTAGATTTTAGTTCTTTAATTATAGGAAATACAGGCAATGGTAGTATTTCATAATTCAAGTAGTTATCTATTACAATTACTCAGTGAATTTGTAACTGACAGTTTTAAAAAGTATCAAATTTACTACTCTGAACTGATATATTTCTAATTCATACCGAAGCTGAGGCTTAAAGATTTGAATAGAGAATTTATATGATTAGGAATAGGCTTAGCTTGATAAAATTTAATGTTCCATATTTTAAACAAATCTATTATTAAAAGTGTAGATATTTTATCTATCTCTTATTTCATATTTGTATTATATTAGTCTCCTGTTGACCTCCAACATTTCCTTGAGATCATGTGTGCTGTTCAAATGGGAATTCTTTAAGTCTTAAGACACTAGTAAGAGTTCAAATAATTTGAATTATGAAGTTAAAGTTACATGTATGTGCTATGTGTGAGATGCTTTTAGAATTCATTTTACTTAATGTTTTGTGAATACTGTCTTTATTGCAAACATTTGAAAACATTTCTTCAAATGGCCACCAGAGAGCATTAGTGGAAAGGATAAGAAAACCACTTTTCAGAAAACTACCTGACTAAGGTTTTAAAACTTACTTTCCTTTGTTTTTAATTCCTGAAATGTTTACGTGAATGCTGATGTTATTTTTTGGGATGTATAAGGATGAGAAATATTACTTACGATCACTTGGGGAAGACCCTAGAAAGGTAAGAATTCTAAATGCAAAATTATTGTTTAAAATCTAAATGGATATATACTTTTAACTGGGATTGAATTTTTATACTCATTGCCTGAAACATGCCTTGTTTTGTTTTTTTTTTTCCCAGTCATTTCTCAATTATTTGTACCCTTGTATAAAAGGTTATTAAAATTTGATTATTTAGTTTTCAGGGAAAATCATAAAATCTTAATGTTTGAAGTAATCGCTAATTTGTACACAGTGAAGAAATCCCTTATGTATACATTACAGTTGTATATATTACAGCTCTGTATATACTAAAATTGACCATTTAGCTAATAAAAATCTAAAATAATTATAAAAATGGATAATTCATTAAGCAAATTAATATGATTACAATATTTATGTCACCATTTAGTTTTTTACTTTTATTTTCCTCCCTCAGTAGGCCTCAAAGGTTTTGCATAGTTGATAATGTTAAGTTGTTCACACCAGAACCTAAAATACTTAATACTATGATAGTAAGAGTTGTATGATTCATGCTTAAATGAAGAGGACCCTATCTGTTAATGAAACTTACTAAAAGTGATAGCGTTGTATATGAATCTTGTTATACTGTCTGTTATTTCTTCATTTGAAAGGGCATTTGCTTATAGTCAACTCACTATTTTAAAACAATAAATAAAGCTTTGCCCCATTCATCTTTTATCATTGGGGTCTGCTGACAGCTTTTGATAAAATTAAACATACCATATCTTACTTATAACTTCTTCCTTTGTTGGTACTATTTTTTAATTTAGTTTTTTAAAGATTGTATTTCTCCTTATGCAGGATGTTGCAGATATCAGAAAGCAGTTTCCTCTATTGGAAGGAGATATTAAATTTCCAAAATTCTTCAGAGAAGAACAGTTCTTTTCCAGTGTTTTTCGGATTAGTTCACCAGGATTGCAACTTTGGACTCACTATGATGTATGAGAAATCTAAAGCTACAATAGATCTTTAGCTTTTTAATTTATCATTCACAGTTTTAACTTTTTGTAGGATACCCTAAAATCTTTGACATACTACTTTGCTAAAACGTGAGTTTTGATAACTGATTCTCTGCAAACAGAATTGGACTGAATTATTTAACTAATGCTAAAATCTCATTACTCATATTTGCATTTCTCTGTGGTCTTACTTTTGATTCATCATACACATGATGTTTTATGAAGTAACCTTTTTTTAATACATGAAAAATGGCCAGCAGATGAGGGGGGAGTTGTTAGTTATGGCATGGGGATTTAAAAGATAAATTTTGTGGACAGCCATTCCCAATTTTAAAAATTTGAGGGTGTCTGAAAGCCTTAGGTTATAAATCCCTTAAAAATTGTCAAATGTCTATTGTATTTGTTGAACAACAAGATGTGTAGAATATTGGTTTTGATCATTTGTATGGCGATAACACTGTATTTGCTTAAATATATGTGCACTTGTGTACATACATTGAAAATCTAGTATTGTGTACGTTTGATTAAATCTGGAAAAATTTAGGAAATTAAGGCAATTCCTAAAAGGTTTCTTAAAAGAAATTTTTTTTTTAAGTTCTAAGTCAAATTCTTTTTAATAAATGTATTTCATAATTCAGCTGAAGACCTGTTGGGAGTATGTTGATATAACACTATAATTGAGCTTGACATAATCTCATTGTGTTCTTTTGTTAAGGGATTTGGATGAATGATGTGAAAAATGATATAATAACTCAAATACATTCTTAAACTATGTTCTGTGTTTTAACTTCTTTAAAGTAGTATCCCTTTTATTTTGAATACCAAGGGACTAGTATAAAGCTTTTCTTAAAAATAAGTCACAGTAATAATATTATATATATAGTTAAGGTTTATTTACATAAGTAAAAGTCAGCTAAAAGGAGAACTCCTTTGGTAAAGTGATCATGAACATATTTTTGTATATATTTTAATTCCTTAGCTGAGGATTATGTACCTCTTAATATTTTCATAATATATACCAACAAAGTAGACCTTTGCATATACAGGAAAAGGGAGTACTAAGAAAATTTGCTAGGTTATATTCCTGTAAAAATAATTGTGAGCTCAAGGTACCTATAACTAAATCATGGTTGGCATTTATTAGTATGACATCAGCAGTTGCTGCAATATGTTTTATGTTCCCAACATGTAACTTCTCTAAATGCTCTCAATCTGTTGTCTGATGTTGGCCTTTAGCATTCCTTAAAGATAAATGAATGCTGGCCAAGAAGGACTTCAAATTGAGGTAACTCACCTCAGTGTCATATTGGTGAAGTAAGAGCGAAGGGTTTCCTGACCTCAGGTTTCCAATGACTTGCCAATCCTTCCTGTTTTAAGGCAGTGCTAAAGTAGTATGTTTAATAAAGGCACAGTTATATTTAGAATGTAAATGTTTTCATTAGTAGAATATTACTGTTATTAAAGGATAGGAGTTATAGTTAACTGTTTTGAATACTGCTTATTCTGTTTATTTGAATTAGATACAGCTTATCCATAAATTCTTATTGGTCTTCAGGTAATGGATAACTTCTTGATACAAGTGACAGGAAAAAAACGGGTGGTACTCTTCAGTCCTCGAGATGCCCAGTATTTATATTTATCAGGTACATATTTAGAAAGTTTATATTTCTTAGTTTATAGTTTACTCAGTTGCTTTTTTGAGAAATATCTTCTCACAGAAAAACATTTTAGGATTTCTTCATAATTATGATATATTGTGTTCTCCAATTTGTATGTGTCCATGTAATGATAGGTTAGATAAAGTATGAGGTTTTTAGATTTTCTTAATTATATTACATGCATGTCAGTGGTCATAAATAAAGGGTGGGTCAAAGAAAATTGTTTTAGGTTTCAGAAAAATAGTGATTGTTCTCACAGTGGGTATAATAAGTAATTGTACAGAAAATACATTTCAAATTTATATTTGTGATTACTTCTTTTAGAATGCTAACTTAGCTCAATCTATATTATCTTTTTTTGAACTTTTCAGGCACTAAATCAGAAGTACTAAATATAGATAACCCAGACTTAGCTAAATATCCACTGTTTTCCAAGGCTAGAAGGTATGAATGTTCCCTGGAAGCTGGAGATGTATTATTCATTCCTGGTAAGATTTACAAACCTCAGACATGTGCTGTTTATAATATTAGTATTCTGACACTCATCCACTATATGAGTCAGTACAGAATATTTTTGTTTTTTGTATCCTGTCTTATATGAGATTAGTTTATATAAACCTGTGTGTGTGGTTAAAGTATGCATAGGAAAGTTCTTAATAATGTTGTAGTTTAACGTTAGTAAAGTACATCAACAACACTATATTTGAGAAAAGATTATATATACCTTGTTGTTCTTAATAATTTCATTTCTAAAATACCTATGTTTGAGAACTGCCACTAATTTTCTCAAAAAAAAAGAGATTTTTCAAAACCAGAGATTCTGTTAATCAGAATGTTACAACCTTAATGATATTTTTGTATGCATTACGTTTATAGTCTAAACTAGTGTCACTTATTTCTTTGTGCAGTAGATATTCTTGTTTAGTATTCAGTGATATAATTAACATCTAATTATTTAAAAGCTAATACCTGAAGTTACAAAAAGCATCATAAAGATAAATGGATCACATTAACCAATTCCATGTATATAGTTATATTTCCATAGTTACTTTAACATATTAATAATAATCATTAGTTAAACTCTTTTCAGTGATTGCTAAGTTTAAAAAGTCATAATATAAACATCATTGTCTTAATTTGAGATTAGATTATAAATTCCTTGTTTTATTCATCTTTTTATTCCTGAAGGGCCTGATCTAATGTCCTTCACAGTTATTTATAAAAATGTGATATATTGACTTCTTATTCTCCTATCTATTAAAAACCAGTAGTACACTGTTCCTTACATCTATTTCCATTATTTAAGATTTTGCTTATAGTATCTTCAGAGCATGGTTAAGAACTGTACATTTTCCCTTGTTCTATATACAACAACTTTTAAAAAAACCACGTTTGTATGTATTTTAAATAAAAGCAGAAATTCAATCTTTGGATTTAAATTTAACAGAAGATTAGCATTTTGTTGGTATTATATTAAGTAAGATTTTTTAAAAAGATTCTGAAGGAAGTGTCGTTAAGATTTAAAATTGTTTGAAAACAAGTTTTGTAAATGAAACAATTTTAGGCTTCTGTTTTTCCTAAAGTACTCCTAGAATGAGTTTTCACAAAAGTCAGGTTTTTTTTATGTGAATAGTATTCTTTTTTGTTAACCTATAGCACCTGTATGTTGAAAATGTTCAGATGCAGCTGAAAATAGAGAAATAAATTTTAGTGGAAGTAAAGCTTTAATTAACTGTAATATAACAGTTTACTCATCTTCTCAACTACTAAAATATTTGCTTTATTTTATGTATTTTAAAGGAACTGACAGAAATATGAGTATAACTGCATTAGCCATATAAAACTGAAGAGGCTACAATGAATACAAATTTAAAAAACAAATTGCATCTTGAACAGGAAGTCTTTTTATACAAAAGTACTGAACTGAATCAGAAAAGGTCAAAGATACTCCTCAAATAATTGAAATGTTCTGTGTCCAAAAAATAAATACTTTTGATGTGGTTGGATGACTAAGGAAATGTAAACAAGTAACACAAAACACAACCCCAAATTACAGAACTACAAAACAAATATAACTTTATTATGTCCTTCAAGTTAAAAGGAAAAATTGGTATTCCAAAGGCTTTAAGTGTAGGGTTGTGCCATTGACACTTTAAATTGGTTGGCAATTCATAAAAGTTAAAATGATTTTGTAGAAGCTGGGAGTGTGCTAACGAAGGAATCTAGTTACAAGAATTATTTCTTACATTGGCTATATGCAATTCGTGATATTTCACTGACATTTTGGGTTTTTTTTTAACTGTACATTTTATTTTTAACTTGTTTTTTAAAACTTTCTCCAGCTTTATGGTTCCATAATGTAATTTCTGAAGAATTTGGAGTAGGAGTGAATGTCTTTTGGAAGCACCTTCCATCTGAATGCTATGATAAAACAGACACCTATGGAAACAAAGATCCTACAGCAGCATCAAGAGCTGCACAAATTTTGGACAGAGCTTTAAAAACACTGGCTGAATTACCAGAGGAATATAGGGACTTCTATGCTCGGCGAATGGTCTTACACATTCAGGACAAAGCTTACAGCAAAAACTTCGAGTAAATAATGAAGTGAATACAAAAATATAAGGATTAAAATGTAATTGAGCTCAAATATTGGACAAATTGCATAATAATATTAAACTTTTTAAAGTATGAAAAATCAGTTTCAGATTTACAGATTAAGTGTAAAGGAATGTTTGTGTAGTTTCTACATAATATAGTGTTATGGTTCAAAAAATACTGTAATTGGGACCACTCTTTAGTTTTGAGATATAAATAACTAAAAATCCAACTTTAAACATTAAACAATAAGAAAGTTAAATTATTACACATGAAGTTTTCTGCTAGAATGGGCTTCAGTATTTCTGATTTACTAGTGCCACCAAGAAATTGAGGGTTTTTTTTCTCCCTACTCCTCTCAATGGCAGCATTGGCATCCTCCTAAGCTGGCTACTCTTGTGGTCACAGGATGATTGCCAATAGCAGTTTGGGCCGTGTGCATCTTCATTTACATGCAGTGGAGGAGTCAGGCTGGATTCCAGGAGCCCTGTCTTAATATAAGAAAGCTTTCCCAGAATTTACCACCAAAATTCTTAGGTGTCATTGATCTAAAGTTGCTTAGATCTGTCCATCCCCAAGCCAGTCACTGGCAAAGCATAAGGAATAATCCTTAAGCCAGCTGGTTTATGGAACTGGAAATAGAATTCTTCCCCTGAGGCACAAGATATATGATGGGTACAAAATGGATAATTATCTAATATTATATTAGTCAGAAGTTCTGATAAGAAAGGAAAAAGATGGGCAGCCAACAATCTCTTCATTAATCTTTTGAGCTTTTAAAAACAGATGTCAGGGGCCCTCCCTGAAGCACAGCACTAAGAAGCTAAAGCCACTTCCGCATGATTTCAAACCCCGCCTGCCCCGGAGGTGATCCACATGGCACGGCAGACCCCTCTAGACCCACCTGCTGCTCCCCTCAGTAGTGTACTTTGTCAGTCAGCATGTTCTGCTCCTCACTCTGTCTCTCATGAATCCTCTCACCGCTGCTGCACCTCTGGCCTGTATCCCAGTTCTGTATGAATAAATAAATAAATCTTTTTAAAAAACATGTCAGACCTTACCTTTATCAACTTTGATTCAGTATGTTTGGGAATTGGTATAGGTATCTGTATATGATAGATCTCATAGATTGTTTTGATGGATAATCAAGAGTTGAGAACCACTGGATTAAATTATAGTCATTTGAAATTAATTTTGTGATATGTCCAAAACAAATATTTAATCTGATCCTGGTTTTGCTTGGCACCCAATAAAAGGTCTATCACTTTTAAGTTTTTGAATGTTAAAAAATACTTCAGTTTTAACTGATATTTACAGCTAAACTTTAACCAACATTATTCCCCACTGCTTTCCTACTAGACTTTTTTAAATGAAAAATTAAGAATGAGAGATCCCAGTAATGCCATTGTCACTGAAGACAATGAGCTATTATATGTCAGTCTGTGCCATTCTTTGTTTTTGCACTTAGTAATTATATCGCAGTGCCACTGAAGAAAGGCGAGAGATATTTGCTGAACCCAAATGTGTTCATTTAAATCAACCTCAGTATATTAATCTGCTGCATTAATTACAGAGACAAAATTTTTCTTGAAAATCATTCACTCCTGTGTTTAGTTTCCAGGTATTAAAATTACAATAACTAAGGAAGAGTATCTGAGAATTACATTGAAGTTACTCAGGTCAACAAAAGTGAAAACTGATCAGCTTTTTAATAAGCCCTCCTTGCTTTTGCTTTTGAACCAGTCTGAGAATCTGTGCAAAATTGTATCCAGATCTACAGAAAAATCTTGGAAGGATAATTGCGATTACAGTTTGCCCAGTGAATACTTACTTTGTTTGACAAGTAAACAAGATGTCTTAGGCAAGTTTAATAAATCTTTATAAAGCTTATTTCCCTCATCTTAAAGACAGAACACGTACTTTATAGAATTGCTTAAATACAAAGAGATAGTCCCAGTAATCACTGTCTGCCCTAAACTATCTGATTACTGTTACTAACTTCTAATTTAATCATATTCCTTTGTGGAGAAATTTGAGGTAACTTCTGTTTCAATATTAAATTATAACACCTAAAAAAATCTAGAGATTAACCTTTTGGAAGGTGTAAAATTATTTCCCTAGTTAACTTTCAGGGGCTTGTTTATTTTATTTATTTAAGATTTACTTATTTGTGCATATAGAACTGGGGTACAAGCCAGAGGTGCAGGGGCGATGAGAGGATTCACCAGAGACAGAGTGGGAAGCAGAACAGGCAGATCACGGAAGTTCACTGCTGAGTGGAGCAGCAGGTGGGTTAGGAGAGGTCTGCCACGCCATGTGGATCACCTCTGGGACAGGCGGGGTTCAAGATCATGTGGCTTTAGCTTCTTAGTGCTGTGCTTTAACCCGCTGTGCCACAAGGGAGGGCTCATAATTACTATATATTATACTGTATGTGTTAGCTACATCTCAGGAATTTCAAGTCTTAGAATTTTATTGTTGAAAGGCATCTTAGAAATCAGGTCATCAAATTGCTTAAATATCTGGACTCCCACAGCTAGGTGATAGAAACTGAAATTACATTGACCAAATAATTCTCTATTCTTATTGCTACACATTTCAAATATTTCTGAGTAGATGATAGTTATTATCTGGTTAGGTTGGAGGCTTGAATTAACACAAATATTTTTCCTTTGCCAACAGCATTTCTTACTGTACTGCATACTACATAGGCAAGGGATACAAAATAAGACTAATGAACAGGTAAGTGTATAAAACTAGACATTATGTAAAAAATGAGGCAGGGTTGTATGTACTGGCAAAGAATCTTTCCAAAGTTTTAGATGAGAAAAAGGTTTGAAACTGGGTTTGGTGTGCTGTCATTTGTTTAAAACAAAGGTATTCCCTAAGTAAACATTTGTCTTTGTACTGAATTATCTCTGCAAGGATTTACAGGAAACCATTAAAGATTAAGGTTGTATACATAGATGGGTATACTGGAATCTGCTTTTGTATATTATTTGAAAATTATTGCCTAATACCCTTTAAAATTAATTTTAAAAATGTGTAGATTTAGCTAGCTTTCTGTAGATACTATTTGTTTGGCATGTACTTACATTGAGGTCTATCTAATAATTAACTGATATTTCCATGAAATATCAAAATAGGCAGTAACAAAGGCAATATCCTTTTCAGTAGCAGCTATGTGCATTTGGGATAAAAATTTATCAACAGATGTGGAAGCTAAATCTAAGATGTTGACTGAGAAAGTGCAAGGAGCTGGAATGTAAATCTTGCAGGAATTGGAACTACTAACTCCTTCCCCAGTGCTAAAAAAAATTTAGTCAGGAAAAACTAATGTAATAGGATTGACAGTCACCCACACATCTCTGGTATTACCTGAAACACTTGCTTCCAGCACACAGGCCATGACGGTTTGGGTGTCTTAAACACACTATTATAATTTTTAAAGTGCATTAACTGGGATACTAAAGTGACCATCTGAAATGACTGCCTGTCACTACTAAGGGCTGCTGGCCTCTGCATTTGTAAAGAGCAACCTATATTTACAAATCATTATCCCCTAAAATGTGTACCTTAAAGATCTTTTTAGAAGAAATAATATAGAATAGCTCTTTTAAGCCTTAGGCTATTGCATTATTTCCATACTCACATTAGGTCTTTTATCTGTACTGTATCCTTAGCACTTAGACCTTCCTTGCCCTTAATGCTTAGATATTACATGAATAAAATGAAAAATACCACACCATATTTAGACAAAATCTCAAAAGACAGCTACAGGATGATAAGCATAAGAAAGGAAGAACTTCTTTGTGAAAGACTTCTAAGAAATCCAACAGACAAAATGGAAATACAAATTTTGGTGGAGCATTGTGTAAAAGAAGGGATATATTTCTTATAGGAAAGTTTCAAAGTTGTTCATTTAAAGAAACATGAAAGTTAATGAGGACATAAAAACCCTAATTGGAAAAGTAGAAATTTCCTTTCAAATAATGAACAGAAGTTTTAACAAATCAAATATAAAGCACACCCAAACAGATTTCTGTGGATTAATTTTAATACAACTGTACATTCATGCTGCGGTGGTAACAATTTTCACATTTGTATGACTTTTTTCAGTTGACTACACAAACACAAAGGCACAATTCAAATGGAAATACATTTATACTTGTTTTAAACACATGGGAAAGTACAAATTTGAACTACTAAAATACTTGAATATGGATCAATTTGAATATGTTTCATTTTGATACAATGGCATTTCCAGGTATCCAGTGAGCTATATTAACATCCACTGAGCATGTAACAATTACTACTAAACATTCATATGACTGGATAGCTAAAGTACCCAGATTTCTTAAAGTAGGATTTTTCTTAGCCAAAAATCCCACTTTTTTCCATTTTAATCCCATAAAAATAAGTCTTTTAGAACAATCTTTAACTCAACTAGGTACATACAAGTTTAACAAAGAACTAAATTGAAAAAAAAAAATGTGGTGCTTTAAGGAAATAAATGCTAGGGGTTGACTTAGGTTGACTTGTGTCCTTGATAAAAATTTTTGGTCTCAACATAGTAATTTAAAGAAACTGAAACAATATAAAACTACTTTGCCCTAAAAAAAAAAAAATAAGACATGCAGTTTATAGCAGAATGTTATTTTTAAGTTTTGGTAAACTTTTCCTTAAGTATTAATATTTGCAGTATATTTTTAGAATCACAGTACAGCCCTTCTTAATTATTTCATAAACTGCAAAGGCTAGTAATACATTTTAAAAAGTTGTTTCAGTGTCAGCTGACTGACATTAGATCTTGGTTTCTCAAAATGTATTGGTCAAGGAAAATGGGCTGATGAAAGCCTCAAATTATGTAGCATATTAAGTAAAGTCAGTTTCTGAGCCAGCATTAAATAAATCATTGGTGTCCTCAAGTTTTCCCTCATAATTTTTCTTATATAATTTTGCACTTTGGTTAAAGAGTTGTTTTCTTTTGGCAGACAAAACAATGCTTTTGGTAAGATAGATTAACAAAATCTCTCTCCTTTTTAAGAGAAAACTAAAATAGAGTATTGCATATTTTATGTAAGTTATTAGGTACATGTTTTATAAGATGAGTTCTTTCAGATGATGCATATTTTTACCCTATTGACATAATTACACTCAAAACTTATTTTTCCAAAAGAATTGGTTTTTTTGGCCAAGATTCAAGATACCTCCAAATATCTTATCTCAAAAATTTTGTCCATTAAAAATTAAGTCAAAGTGCTTAAATGCAACATTTCTGAAAAACATATTTACACTATGGCATGTTCCTGAACATTTTGAAACAGATACTTTTTGACTAAAGAAAAAGACATTTTGGCACAGTAAAGAAAGACTACATAAATTTACAAGGCAGAAGAGGCAGGGCTCAGTTATTCCAAAACTATAGAAAACATTGTGTGGCTTAGTTTTGTTTGAAGAAAAATAGTTACCACTCAATTTTGAATGACAAAATAGCTAATTACTATTGTTACCAAAATTAGTCTAACATATTACTCAGAAAAATCAACTATTCTAACAACAATTGCAATTATCTTTTCTAAGGACTACTATAACTTTTTTAAGGCTCTTATTTCTTACAGCATTACAAACCACATTTTAGATTTAAAATGAACTAATTTTAATTCAGTACAAATTAAAAACTTCACATTCACAAGCAAGAAAAGCTACTACACCTTACAATCAAATTTTAGGAATGTGTGCTTCCTTCCCCCCAACCCAAACTGACAGTGTCTATGAATTTATCTTCTCTGAATGTATAATACTCATGTTTATGTTCTTCTACTGAACAAATACAATTAATATTCTTACCATCTTCAAAGCACTTCATGAACCCTGAAGTGATTCTCTATGGAAGGAGCTTCTGTTACAAAATGAATTTGGCTAGTCACCTGCATGCCAAAATCTCCAAGTATCTGAACAAATTTCTTGTGTTCCTTTCCAATCCAAGATCTCATTGGATCACGGACTTGGTAAGGCGTTACATGGGTGTGTACAATAATCCCTGTTTGTGCAAATTCTTTCAAGACTTCTGGATAAGTAATCCACGTATTGCTTCCTCCAGAATGACCACCATCAAGCCAGTACATTGTCCTTATGCTCTTGATAAAAGTGTCTATGTCCTTATCTTTTTTGGCTTCTTTCAATTCAAAGAGCAACTGATTCAAAACAACACAACCTTTACTGAATCCAATCAAAGTAAAAGATGCACCTTTTAGTGTCGGTGGATAAAAAGTCACTTCAGACTCATCCAATTTTTCGCAGGTCCTCTCTTTTTCTCCCTGGCAACCATTAGTTGCATGAGAAGAACTGGATCTACAATTTGATGCTTTAGAGTCTTTATTCAAATCTTTCATATTCTTCTTTGATAGTAAACTGTCCTGACTTAAGTTAAAAGCATTAACTAATAACATATAAAGGTGCTTAAAGGCTCCAAAGTCAGTATTGTGTTCTGGAGCACCAAACATATTGCTTTTTACAAAATTGTCATAGCAGCTGAATTTATGCAAATGCATTCGAGAACACTTTATCACCCAAATATAACTGTTTGGGAAGTGGCGTGCTAAAACAGTGGCAACATTTTCTAGACTCCATTTTTCCCACTGATAATTTTCGGGGTGACGAGTCATAATTTCATGGTAATTCTGAAAGGTAAGAAGGATAAAATAAGCATTAAACACATTTATTCAAAATTGCTTCTACAAAAAAATTTTCATTTTTATTGAAGGGAGGGGAAAGTTGGGATGTCATAGTGTCCTATGATTAATGAACATTGTTACTTTCTAGTTAAAAGATTTTTATTCTGGTTAGAAGAGTTTTTTAGTTTTAGCCTCAAACCCATCAAAAAACAGGGTCATGAGATACAACTACATAGCATAATAGCAATTTAAAAACAAAATATTTAGAAGGATTAATATGTTTGATAGATTTCATTTAATGTACATGTGACCTATTTTTCCTAACACATTAACTGAAAATATAAATTTGGTTTAATAAACAGACACCAGCAAAAATTTTAAAATATTTTCCTACCAAAGTTGCTATTCTGTGCCTCTCTTTGGATTACTACAGCAAGCTGGAGATACTATGTGTGATTTCATTTTTGTTGTATAAAAAGTAAATGCAATGAACATTATAGAAAAATCTTTGTATACATCTGTGATTACATTCTTAAATTTCCTAGGTAATGGAAAACGCTAGGTCAAATAAAAAGTCATTTCAGACTCATCAAATTTTTCACAGGTCCTTTCTTTTTCTCCCTGGCAACCATTAATTGCATGAGAACTGGATCTACAATTCGATGTTTTAAAGTCTTTATTCAAATCTTTCATATTCTTCTTTGATAAACTGTCCTGACTTAAGTTAAAAGCAATTAACTAATAACACAAAGATGCTTAAAGGCTTCCAAGTCAGTATCGTTGATTATATGGTTTATAAACTGTCTTCCATATACCAGTGAGGTATATGCCTGTTTTCTGTTATTTCAGGCACAAGATAGCTTATTTTAATGTGAATTTATTTATATTAATTTGAATTTAATTTTGTTTAAATTTTCAACTCTCCAGTAATCTCTCTAACCTCCCTGGCACCCATTTGCCATCTGGATTTCTACTTGTAGCTGCTCATTTCTCTTGCCCCTTTTCATTTGACTTATAAAATTATTGATATATAACTTTTTATTTAGGTTTTAGGACAAATATGTAAATTTTGTGTTCCTTTAATTTTTATTCATGATAGCATTTTTTTTGAAACTGGGAACATCAATAAAATTTATTGGCTACTTAATTAGTTTATGAATCAGAACTAACTAAACCCCTTAACACACAGAGTGAGCTCACATTCTAGCAGAAATACACAATAAAAAGCTCCATAAGGAAATTGCTATACAATGAGCCACCCATAAAATTTTGCAATAGCTGCATTAAAAAAAGTTAACAGGTGAAATTATGTTTAACAACTTACTGAGTCTGATATATTCAAAATGCTCATGTCAAGACGTAACCAATATTAAAAAAAAAAAAAACTGAGATTTTTTTTTTTTTAAGTCTTTGATATCCAGTGAGTACTTTATACTCAAAACACATCACAAATTGGATGTAAAATTTCACTGGAAATATTTGATCTGAATTTAGATTTCATAAAATTTGAAAAAGCAGATCCACATAACCAAGCTATTCAACTATACTTGAGTTTTCCACAAACTGAAGTGACTCTCTGATCTTAGACTTAAATTGAAAGATAAAATTAAAAATTTAGTTTCTCAACTAGACTAACAACATTTTAGTGGCTAAGAGCCACAGTGGATAGTGTTTGGGCTGAACAAAAGACTAGATGGTGCTAAATACTACAGTGTGCTTAAGAAATAAAGC